TAACACCATATTGTATGATTGGAAGTTGCTGAGAGAGTAGAACTGTGTTCTCATTTTAAAAGAGTAAATATATGAAGTGATAAACGTGTTAATTAACTTGGTGGGAATCCCTTCACAGTGTATATAGTATATTGAAGTATACCCTTGTATGCTTTCAGTAAATTGTAGTTTTGTCAGTTGTTCTGCCATAAAGGTGGAAAAAATTTTTTAAAATAGAGATATCATCTGCATTGAAAAAAAGAAGAAAGTTATCATAAATCCATAATCTTTTCTTATAAAAGGGCAAATGTTATCACATTTAAAAAGTGCATAAAAAAGTAAGGACTTACGTACAGGAAAGAACTTCCTCATGTTACAATATGAAGTGTCCTGGAACAATAATCCCCCTGTGGATATGTAAAATAGTACCTGAGGAGCCTTGAGGCATAGTGTAAGGAGGGGAGGGGTAAACATGCATGAATACAGATTTGTGAGTTCTTTTGAAAAATTTTGAATTGGATTTACAAATTTGTCAATGTGTTTTATCAAAGCATGAAAAATATCCTGTAAAGATGGTGAGAGGGCTTCCGTGGTGGCTCGGTGGTAAAGAATCTGCCTGCCAAAGCTGGAGATACAGGTTCAGTCCCTGGTCTGGGAAGATCCCACATCCATGGAGCAGCTAATCCCATGTGCCACAACTATTGAGCCTGTTCTCTGGAGCCTCTGAACCGCAATTACAGAGCCCAGGTGCCGCAACTACTGAAACCCACGAGCTCTAGAGCCTGTGCTTGGAAATAAGAGAAGCCACCACAATCAGAAGCCCTCACATCATGTCTAAAGAGTAGCCCCCACTCACTGCAACTAGAGAAAAGCCTGTGCAGCAAGGAAGACCGAGCACAGCCAAAAAATAAAGAAAAGTAAATAAAAAGATGGGGTGATATTAATTTAGTACATAACACTGTGGATAGGGATTTGCAGCTTCTAATTTCGTGGTGTAGGATAATACAGCAACTCAGCCACTTGGGGAGATTTTTACACCAAGCTCTTGCCTGGAGAATCCCATGGACAGCCGAGCCTGGTGGGCTGCAGTCCATGGGGTTACAGAGAGTCAGTCACAACTGAGCAACTAACACACACACATATGGACTATTAATTGGACCCCATGTTTTTGAGCTGCCTGATAATCTTACATCTCCTGAAAGGCAGGAGGAGAAGGGGATGGCAGAGGATGAGATGGTTGGATGGCATCACCGACTCAATGGACATAAGTCTGACTAAGCTCTGGGAGTTGGTGATGGACAGGGAAGCCTGGCATGCTGCAATCAATGGGGTCACAAAGAGTCGGACATGACTGAATGACTGAACTGAACTGAACTGATGATCTTCATCAGAGGATCAACTGATGATCCTCCCCCCAATCCCTCCCAGCATCAGGGTCTTTTCCAACGAGTCAACTCTTTGCATGAGGTGGCCAAAGTATTGGAGTTTCAGCTTCAGCATCTGTCCTTCCAAGGAACACCCAGGACTGTCCTTTAGGATGGACTGGTTGGATCTCCTTGCAGTCCAAGGGACTCTCAAGAGTCTTCTCCAACACCACAGTTCAAAAGCATCAATTCTTCAGCGCTCAGCTTTCTTCACAGTCCATACATGACACTGGAAAAACCATAGCCTTGACCAGATGGACCTTTGTTGATCTTACATATAGATTATTTAGTTTTTAAAAAAACCATCTTCAGTGAGACTTGGTATTAGAAGATCCCATCAAAGAGATGCTTCAGTTGAATTCTCAGCCTATGATCTGTGACTTCAGAAATAAATAACATGCTGTTAATGACAATATGTGAGAACGAGACTGTCTGCTCGGTGCTCGGGTCTCTCCACACTCATTTGCGCCCTAAGCCTTCCCTAAGTGGGGTGGTTTCAGGGGCGTGAATGAATAGATGATATGGGAGCTGGGATGAAGAAAACGCATGGAAAAGTGGAAACTAAAAGAATATGCTTGGATTTATGTGAAAGGTAGTAAGTAGAAACTGAAGGGAAGCTTTCTTTTATTACAAAAAAAAATTATTTATTTAGTTTTGGTTGCACTGGGTCTTGGTTGCTGCCCGCCGGCTTTCTCTAGTTCAGGTGACTGGGGGCTGCTCTCGTTTTACTCTCTAGTTGCGGTTCACAGGCTTCTCTTTGCAGTGGCTCCTCTTGTGACCGAGCACAGGCTGTAGGGTGTGCGGGCTTCAGTAGTTGCAATTTCCGGGCTCTCGCGCACAGGCTGGGTAGTTGTGGCACACAGACTTGGCTGCTCCATGGCACATGGGATCTCCCCAGACCAGGGATGGAACCCACGTCTCCTGCATGCACAGGTGGATTCTTATCCCTGGACCACAAGGGAAGCCCCAGGGAAACTTTGAGCAGATGATGGTGCAGTCGGTAGGGGTTCATTTCTGAAGGTCTCCTCAATTTGAAGTCGCAGTTGGATTCACATAAGTAAAAGAATTTTCAGTAGAAATGAAACCTTGAACATTACATCAGACTATGAAAGAAATGTCGTTTGTAGGGGAGGGGGGCGGTTTAGTGATGTTTATTCAGCTGTGGTCAGATCTCAAATCCAGCTTTTCTTGACATTCCTGATTTCAAGGCTGAATCAGTACCTGTGGGGTGAATTCCCCTGTCATCCTATGTGATTGGCAGTTGGCTGCACCGCATTGTGAAACTGGTCTTTCTCATGATCTCCTTTCTCTGAGTGTTCATGTTCTTATAGGGACAGGGAGGAGACTGGTCCTGTTTATGTTTCTATACACAGGGTCTTCCAAAAACGTGTCTATCACAGTATTTTTCAGTAAATATCTATTGAATGAATGAATGCACAGTGGTTTTGTGCAGAGTCCTGATGACATAGTAAAAAAACTTTCCCCAGTACTCCATGGTTCATTTTGAGAATCGTAGATCTTCTCTCTCTCAGATAATTTCATAATTATCTCCTTTGAAATGGACAAAATATTAAAACATATTCCTGATGAAGTTGTAAAATTGGAAAACTTCACTCTTAAAATTAAATTACTGCAAATAAAATACATCGTGTGTGTGTTTCAAAAACAAATCTGCACCTAACTGTGATTTGGAGAGAACTCATTTTGACTGATTGTGCTTTTTAAAAAATACAATTAAATGAAGACTTCCCAAGTCATCACTTGAATTTTAAGTGTCTAATTAGAATCATATCTAATCTGCTTGTTAACATGCCCCTCGCTTCCATGCCTGAGTAACAGAGAAGTCCTTTGACAAGTTTTTAAATAGGTTTTATTTTTGTTTGCCCTCTGCAATGTGATTTTCATGTGATTTCACTGTTTCAAATTCAAGTAAGATTTGTTGCTACAAACACAGCTTTTAAGACAGAAGAAACAGCACACAATGGTTTTGGGGAGAAGCAAAGAATAATTCACATCTTAGATTCTTACATTAATTTCTTGGGTAGCTTGTGAAGCTGTCCACACAAAATAGGAATGAGGAAAAGAAAAGCAAGAGGACTCCCAGAGAGGAGGGTTGTAAACTGTCTCTGAATTCCTATTGTCCTTCAGGATTTCGCTAGGGTTTCCCACTCTGCTTCCTGTTTTCACTTTGTTTGTTAGGAGGAGGCAGCAACAGACTGGAAGGGGAGATGAGGTTTCCTTTCCACTTCAGGTTGCTCTCCTGTGTATGTGTGAAGTTGTTTTCCCACATTCCGTTTTGGAAAGTAAGGAATTCATTCTGGGAACCCACCCTGTTGCCTTACCTGATGATGCAGAATGAGGGGGAGGTGGACCCTGAAAAGTACTGCCGGGGTAGGGCAAGCCGCAGCCCTTGGCAACCACCTGCTTGGAGAGGGGTCTTCTCTCTTCTGCCTGTGGAGCTGAGTCCTGGCTCCGCTTCTTCTTGTCTTGTATTTCAGTACTGTCTCTTTAAACACTGTAGTAGGTTGACAGAGTGGATTCGAATGCTACTAATTCAGTATCTCTCAAAGTCTTCTCAGATTTGGATCAAATGGACTTCCTCTATCTTGCAACGTCTTATAGTTTATCTTTACTAAATTGGGTAAAGTTAGCAAGGCTTCCTCCAGGCCCTTCACAAGCCTCAGCAGTGCAGTCCTCTTCCCTGCCCCACCCCCACTTGACCCCCTGAACACACATGTGCACACACACCCACCCACCCACCCGCACCCACACACACACACACACACTGTGCTCGTCCACATTCCGGTGTCTTAGCTCAGGCAGTTCTTCACATTTGGATGATGCTACTACCCTTTCAAGCCTGGCAAGTTTCTACCAAACTTTAAGACACTACAAAATATCACTTCCTCTTTTAATTCCTGCCTTTGCCCCATCACAATTTAATCTATTTTTTTGAAATCTGCGTTGCCATAGATTCCTGTGATATGTTTACCATGGTATTAATACACTGTATTGTATAGGAGTTTTTTAAAATGTCAGTACACCTCTCCCATCTCCTTTCTTCCCAAACAGTGTCGCCTCGGTGACAAAATATTGAATCATTTTATAGAACCTACCAGAAATGCGTAAACTAGCCCATGTTCCAGCTCAGTCAACAACTCCCAGCAAAACTGGAGTTGTTGGAAAGAGCTGGCTACAGGGCCAGATGAGAAAGATGGAGGACTTTGCCCAGCCTTCCTAACTCGGTGGATCACATCCATGTGCTCACCTTCCTCTGAAGGTTTCTGAGATTCCAGAACATTAACAAACCTAGATGGCCCTTCAAGTTTGTATGCGGCAAGTAGGAGTGCTCAAGCATTCATTAGAATAAATAAAGAGAAATGTTTTATGTGCTCAAAATGTCCAGCCACGTGTTGTGCAGGGCACAGGCCTTTCAACCCTGCTTTCTGAGCAAAGGGTGAGATGAGAATGACCCATGCCGTGTTTCTTCTTCGGTGCCTGATCACACCCCATCCAGTGGATTCAGGCAAGAAACACTGGGGACATGGAGACATGGCTTCATGTTATGCCTTCTGATCTAGTGTTCTCTCCTTCCAGGTGCACCCATCTTGACCGACTCAGCAAGAAGGTGGATTTTCCCTGTGTCTAAAGAAAAAAAAATGTCCCCGTGTCTGTAGAGATGATTTGCAGTTCAGCCCGGCTGAAGCTGACCGAATGAGACTATGGGCTGTGCCTCCGCCAAGCATGTTGCCACTGTTCAAAATGAAGAGGAAGCCCAGAAAGGGAAGAACTACCAGAACGGAGATGTGTTTGGCGGTAAGTGCCACTGAGCTTCATTCTCGGCCCCCTCGATCTAGGCCTTTCGTGTTCGCAGGAGTGAGTAACTGCAGTGTCATGGTGTTGTTCCATGTGACAGGGGAGTGGGTAAAGGGCCGATGCGATATGATAAAAAGTGATGCACATCTTTTTACACTGGACAGTTTCATCCTAATTTATACTTGGAAGACTTTGAGGAGGACCATGGAGGTTTTATACAGAGCTCACATTTAAGTCAAGCTTTGTAGAACTCGTAGGACTTAGGTGCATTGGACAGTGGCCACAGGTGTTTTGGTCCAGAATTGTGGGACTGAAATGTGAAGGTCCAAAAATGGGTGAAGATTTATAACTGAGCGAAAGTGGTATTTCTTGAAGTTTATTGTAAGTTTATGTGAATTATAAATCCTCGGATCCCGAAATACAATTGCAGTGAATTTAGAAATCATCTTTTAACCATCTCTGATGATTCATAGTGAGTTGAGACTGTGCAGTGCAAAGGTCACAAACTGCCAACCCATGACCACATCTGGATTTTCTTTGGCCCCCAGAGAATTTTTAAAATAAAAAGAAAGACAGCCTTTAAAAATCAGGATGTTTTACACAAAACCCCAGATTTCTTGAGTAGATTTGGCAACACAGATTTTCCATTTCCTGAGGCAACAGTTGGCGGGGTGGGGTAGAAGTTGCCCACCCAGTCAATGTCTCCAGTAAACCACTAAGCTTTCCCTGTGAATGCACAGCAGGCCCTGTTCACTCGCCGATGTTCCATGCCTTGCCATTCACAGGTTTTGAGTTTGCCTAATCTTAAGTTTGTCAAGATCAGTGAATCAGTGATTACCCTGATGAAGAGTAGCTACGTGTTTGTACCAGGTTCCAGTTAGTCAAAGAAGATGAAACCATTTTTGCTGAATTACTATAACAATAATACCCATTGACATTTGCATGGCACTTCTATTCATAAGAGCACTTCTTCATCTCTTATTCGTTAAAGAATCTTATTGAAATAATGTTTACATGTAAACAACTCAAGTTGCACTATTCAGTCCCTGTCAAGAGCTTCTACGGCATTTTAGTCTCTAGCTTTTGATCCATTGCAACGGTTGCTTCAGTTCCCTGGGGAAGAATTGGGAACACTGTGGAAGGGATAATGCTCTACTACAAGTAAACTCATGTATATGGAGGAAGACAGATTCCCTTTGGTTTGTTTTAAGGAAATATATTTGTTGCCTAGAACAGACTTGCTCTAGTGATCTCTACCTATAGAACCGAGAACTGTGGAGTGATATATGAGCATCTTAACACATTATTGACTGGAGACATCACTGCATTTTTAGACGATGTAAAATAAACATCACTGTGCAAAACTGTTAGAGCTTAAAATTGATCAAGCGTTCTTTATACAACTTGACTGTCATTATCATTCACATATTGCTCCATTACGTTTTTGTTACAACCTTGTGTATATCATAAACATAGAATTTTCAAAAATGACACATTGAAAAATTTTGAGTGAAGAGGATTTTTTGGTGAATTTTATGCAGATACTTTTTCTGATTATCTGAGTGACATATATACTAAGTGTCTCAGACACAAACCACTCAGAAGATCATGGTTTTCAGAATATGGTTCTGATTCAAATGATGTAAATATTAGACCAACAAAATGACAAAAAAATACTTAGTGATTCATTCTGATACAGAAAGTGAAAAATGAAACCCATGGTGCTGGAGAATGTTCCTTTGCTTCTACAGAAGAGTGGAGTGAAGACAACATTTCACAAAAATTAGAAGACTTTACAGATGTGTCAGTTCTGACTATTGAATGAAATAACCTGTAAAGTGTTAGTGAGAAAAAATTTCAACCAGCCCCCCCCCCCCAAAAAAAAAAAACCGCCAGCTGCAGTGTTAGTTTCTGCAAAAATCTCCTGGTCAATAATGAGTTAGTAAAACTAGAATCCAGATCTTTGAAACCACACCTCCTGAGAAAACACCTAATAGGAATTAGAGTTATTACTGTCACTCTCAAAATTGAACTTTTAAGAGGAAATAATTGAGTATCAGGGATTTGTTTAAACCAACTTCTATGTGAGATTCTGTGTCATTGTCATTTTCGTAATTAGAGCTACCACTTATGGAGCCTCCACCATATGTCAGACAGTGAGAAGCATTTGCATTCAGTTTCATGTTGAGTTTTCACAACAACCCTGTGAAATCTGTGCCATCCCAATTTTAGAGATTTGGGAGCTGGAGCACAGTGAGACTAACCGGTCCAAAGCTGCTCAGCTACTAAGTAATACAATCAGATGTCTCTGACTCCAGAGTCCGCGAACCCTTCTCAGTGTCGTGGCTACTTCCTATCCATCTTCCATTGTTTAATGTGAAACTTTATTGACTAGCTGGTACATGATGTGTCAGGCCCTTTGCTAAATGCCATGGAGGATACAGAGATAAACGTTGTTTTCTAGGACTTTATAAGAGGGTGAGGAAGTGTTATGAGGCAGAATAAGCCAAATACCAGAAGAGAAAAAGACATACATATCATGATGAGAGTCAGAGGGATGGAGAGATTACCTTAAAAGATGGGATCAGAACAGATTTCTTACAGAGGTGACAGCTGAAACTGGTCTTAAAGGATGGAGAACCTAAATCTGTTGGATAATGAGTGTAGGGAGAAACTGGATGAGGAAAGGCTAAAGGTGATGTGACATATTCAAAAATTAAAAGTAATCCCCCCAAAATTACAAAATCAAGTAATCTAGTTTTATTAAAATTGAAGTATAATTGCTTTACACGATTGTATCTGTTTCTGCTGTCGAGCAAAGTGCCTCAGCCATATGTGTGTTTGTGTATATCCCCTCCTGAGCCTCCCCCCACCCCCTCAAGTGATACGGTTTGAATGGAATATAAAAAATAAGTGAGAGGAAATTGGTCAGAAAACTAAGTTAGGATTATATTATGGAGAACTTTGAATACCAAATCATAACCTATAGAAAGATAATCTTGGACTTATTTAAAATTTAATGATCTAATTTAATGATAGTCTATATATATGTATATATGTAAAACCTTTTTATTTTGTATTGGGGTGTAACCGATTAACAAACAAGGTTGTGTAGCTTCAGGTGATCAGCAAAGGGACTCAGCCATACATCTATGTGTATCCATTCTCCCCCCAGTTCCCCTCCCATCCAGGCTGCCCCATGACATTGAGCAGAGTTCCATGTGCTATACAGTAGGTCATTGTTGCTTTTCCATTTTAAATAGAGCAGTGTGTACATGTCAGTTCCAAACTCCCTAACTATCCTTTACCCTTGTCCTTCCTCCCAGCAGCCATATGTTTGTTCTCTAAGCCTGTGAGTCTCTTTCTGTTTTGTAAGTTCATTTGGTGACACTCAATATATTGTATTTTATTTTGCTTGGCAGTGAAACCATCTAACCATTCATTTGCTAATATGGTTACAACTTTTATAACCAAGAAGACTTTCTGTTGTTCTAAAGTATCGTGTGTAGTTTGCAAATATTGGCATCTAATAAAGGAGCCTTGTATTAGTCAACTATTGCTGGATAATAGACCACTTCAGGATCTCAGTAGCATTCAACAATACACATATCTTCCTTGATCACAAGGCCGTTGGTCAGCTGGAGTGGCTCTGCTCCATGTCTCAACTTCCTCCTGGGATCCAGGAGCCAAGGGGAACATGCTCTTCTTTTTCAGAAGGGTAGAAGTGCAAGCAATACACATGATGCCTCTTAAGCTTGAACTTGGACTTGGCACACTGTTTGCACCCACATTTTATTAACCAAATTGAGTCACGTTAAGAGGGTTCAAAGACAGAGGGCAAAGAAGTTCATCTGACCAAAGCACATTGATAGCAAGGGTATGGTTGTAGAAAAGGGTCAAGAATTGGGGCTAGTAATTCAGTCTACCCCATGCCTGCCTAGTCATTGCTGTCTGTGTGACTTCACACAGTCCACACCACCAAGTGCATTTAAGGCCTATGCCAGCTTCTCTTTATCCCCCCAGTACTCACAGTGACGTTTTATTCACTCCAGCATTCATCATCTTATCACTCTTTCTGATGTCAACATTTGTAGGTTTGTGGCATGGTGTTACATAAAAAAAGAACACAGGAAGAGAGAGAGCTTTGTGTTGCAGTCAAGGGAGACAGTTTTCCTAGTCCTTCCGGATTCTGGGAGTAGAACTGTCAGAATCCAGTGTGAACATCAGTACTAGTATCCTAGATGTTACTGAATGCTGGAGTCTGAATATGACAAGAGAAGGTCCTATCTGTTTCTCCACTTGAATTAGCTTGCAAGCAGAAGTCTACAGAATCCCAGTAGAATCACAGATGGTCACAGGTGAATGGTAGATCAGACTCACTTTCAGCCACTTGATATCTTTTGTCACCCATTGTTTCAGTAATCTGCTATTACCTACAAAGGACCCCAAACTTAGCAGCACTGATTTATTATTTCTCCTGATTTTGTGGCTTGGCTGGGGTTCATCTGCCAGGGCTCCAATCATGCTTCCCTTGTGCCCCAGATGGTAAAGAATCTGCCTGCAATGCAGGAGACCCAGGTTCAATCCCTGGGTTGGGAAGATCCCGTGGAGAAGGGAGTGGCTGCCCACTCCAGTATTCCTGCCTGGAAAATCCCATGCACAGAGGAGCCTGGCAGTCTACAGTCCACGGGGTCACAAAGAGTCAGACACAACTGAGCGACTAACACTTTCAGTTATGCAGTTGCCTTCAGGTGGGAGCTCAGCTGGGCTCAGCTGACCATGATGGCTTCAGATCTCGCTTTCCATCAGGTAGTCACATTTTCATGAGGCGGCTAACTGCCCGGACAAGAAGTAGAAGCTGCTAGCCCTCTTAAGGCCTGGGCTTGAAAGTCTAAGAATGTTGATTGTGCTGTGTTCTGTTGAGCAAAAGCAAGTCACAAGACCAACCCAGACTCAATCAACGGAGCACAAAAACTCTCCATTTCTTGAGTCTGACCCTT